CTCACATATGGGCCAATCTAAGCTCGGCAGTGGACTTTAGACAGTCTGTAATAAATTAATTAATTAATTAAGGATTTAAAACATACTGAAATTTATTTTTATGATATTAAGAAATTTATTTATTACAATTACAAAAAAAAGAGCGAAAACAATATTCTAGAATTATTCCTCAGTTAAAAATACCCTATCTACGGTACGGCCTACGACTATTAACTTATTAAGAAGATATTGACTTAAATCGGAGTAACAGTCATCTGCTTAATATAGGTACGTGTAATGTTACTCTATTTGCATCATATTTAGAATTAAAGTTAATTTCACTATATCTCCCCATCTCGTGTTCCGGTTGTACGTTCTTCTTCCAATAACAAAATTTGTATTCCTGTTCCCTTCACGGAGTTCTATGGTGACTCCTTCACAGTTCAGGCTACACGTCTTTGGAACTCCTTGCCCAATATCATCAGAAAAGCTCCCAATAAGTATGATTTTAAAAAGTTGGTACGTAATCAAAAGACAACGCTTCTCACATGAATCATCCATATCATTGTATATTAATATGTATATATTTTATATGTGTATGTATAGGTTATATTTGCACAGTTTCTTTATTAGTAAAATGTATATATTACGCGGTTAATTATCGTTGTTAATTTGCTTATTATTCTATATTGCAACAATTACGTCAAATTCTCACCACTCCATGGGTTGACTAGTAGAGAACGCCTCAAGGCATTAAGTCCGCATTTTGTATGCTTTTATTTTATGGAGTTCAATAAAAAATTACGACAAATAAAAAAGACTGATGTGTTAACGTATAACCTCTGTTACTGCCTAGGAGTTTGTCTAGGTAAGTATTACATAGCTTATTTTGTGCCGCTTAGTAATGCGTCTAGTCTTTGTTTCAATTCAAAGAGTAAGAAAGCCAGTGTCAAAATTATATGCTATGAAACTGTTCGTCTTTAGTCTTAAATAATGAAGGTAACACATATGTAGCTTTTGTTATTCAGAAGCTGCAGAAGCTTTTTACTACCAGGGGATTTTTTAATCCATTCGATAGTCTTAACATTTACTTTGAAATTTTTTATTCCTGTTACTTCCCCATTTCGAGGATATCGGGAGTTACAAACAGCAGATTCAATTTTTACTTCCTTACGTAACGTTTAAAATAGTTACTCTTAGCAATTAAAGCCAGCAGTGTGATTTCCAGTTTACAGACACTTTTACAATAATGCACCTAATATCAGAAAAATATATATCTAGCGCTTCCTAATTATAAAATTTCTTTCTTTTCATTGTTCTTTTAAAAACATTGCATCACTGTAGAGGCGCTACGCGAGGCCGTAACGCCTCTACAGTGTTGCAATTTTTTTATGTATTTAATATTCTTTCTTTCCTTTTTCAACAGCACATAAAAGTCCATTCGGGTCTGGATGAAATGAGACTACCGTTGTAGGAAGGAATATTCATCACGCCCGGTGGGTAAATAACGGTGATCGCACGTTATCTCCCAACTTAAAACTGCTTCTTGTCACCAGTTTGGGTACGAGTATCTTACGTCTGGCGTAGGTATACGAGATTGTTATACCATAATCTAAAAAAAGATAAGATTTTCGGGCATCCCCCATAATCACTTCTTAAGTAGAATAATTAGAATAGAATTTTATTATTAAATAATGCGTTACAAACTGAGTGCGAATTTAACAGTGGTTTAATTAAAACATTGGCCATTTTAACTCCACGACGGACCTACTACAATAGTTCATCCCTCTCTACCTTGTTATAAGTTGACTGGCAATACCGACAAAAGGCATTAAGTTTACCCATTGTTACTTTTTTAATTATTAAATGGCAAAAGAATAAAGAGAAAATAAAATTGCTTTTTAAAAAATAAAAACACATTATGAATACTAAACATAACAGTAAGCGAACATTGAAGGAGTATTCCATAAACAGATGTCACTTAGGTATTCACCATCTACTGTACCCACATCACGTTTTTATAGAGCGACATAACATTAACATGCATACAGCACTCTAAATCCATTAAACGCAATCAGTAATATTATTGAACTAAAAACCAGCATTATCTGACGACTGTACCAACAAAATTTTTAAATTTAACAGGCACCGCGGCGTCCACTTATAATTTTTTAAATGGGTCAGTTCACTATAGTTATCTTAATATTCTTTAGTAACTGTAATAGCGTACTGTTAATAATCATATTGTCAAGATCTTAGAACATATTACTGTATGTTCATGTTATGTCATGTCTCTAGCTAAGTTTAAGGCTACAGTAAACGATACATTATTTAAGTAACTAGGTGTAATTCATTGTTTTTTACACTTAATATTACTTTTATATTTTATGTAACTTTCTAGTAACTTGAATCATACGATGTATACCTTTGATTGTGCAATTAATATCTAAGTTGATGTGTGCTTACTATTTCTGCTTTGCTGCAACAATCGTCGGTGTACTTAAATAAATAAATAAATAAATAATTCCTGCTATGGCCTATTACAGACTAATGATGCTAAAAATATGGTATTTAACCTACACTAACAACAATGTAATATAACAGGTATATCAAAACCCAAAATTATACTATACCGCTACATTTTACAACCATTTTCGTTTCCATTGTCGTAAATTCTTCATCATTTCAGCCTATCAAAATCTATTGTTGAACATGGACCTCCTCCATAGAGCCTCATACAGATAATATTTGATATAGTGGCTCTGCTTGCAGGTGGATCGGTAATTGCAGTTTTTTAAGAATTTTAATCGTTATTAAGAAGATACTGCCGCCTGTTTGTTTCCCTCTGTCGCCTGCCTCGCCTCATACGTCACGGGATATCGTATGGTAATTTTATTACGCCGCCACTACACAATTATAGTTTTGCTTTGTATTAATTAAATTAATTTAAATTTATAATAATAATAATAAATTTTATTGCCTCTAAAACACACAGTTACATTCACGTTAAAACAAAAGAACATTATAATTATTTGAGACAAAAGGAGACGGCTCAGCTTTGTCTGTAACGAGATACAGATCTCATACAGAGCTGTTTTTCAGCCGCTCCCTCCTCCCTGAGGTGTTGTGCGGGAGTCCAAAGTAGCAGGCTCCCCATTTACCTGACTTATACTTTTTTCGTATTTATCGTCATCTGAACACATCCTTCCCCAAGAAATGCCACAAAGCGTTGTCCTTGAGCCATCTGCATCTATCGACTTACTGCATCTCTTACCAGGTCGTCACTCCATCCAGTGAGGAGCAAGTAATTGTAAAGTCACTTGAATATATTGACGAAATATTCTGATTTAGAAAACTTAGTGTTTCCGCGCTTGCCAGGCAGACGTTGTTCTGCCCTTTTCGACGACCCTTTGTCATGTCCTATTAAAATTCCTTAAATTAGCAAAAAAAATTGTGGGTCACTCATGGGCAAAAAACTATCCTATTTCTCAAGTTGGACTAAACCGCACACGGTGTGCAAATTTTATTAAAATCGGTTAAGTAGTTTAGGAATCCATCGCGGACAAACAACGTGACACGTAATTTAATATATTAAGATATGAATTTGATGAACCTTGAAACTTTAAAAACCTTTGGGCATTAACAGGCGCGGTAATCACATCAGGCATAAGCATATAAAAATATTTTTTTTTTAATTTTTACACAATATGTAATGGTTTCATTAACTTAGTTGTTTCGTGATATTAATAAAACTTCAGTTAAATTCTAGCCTATTCATAAAGGTTAGACATTAGGACTCCTTTTTTTAATTAACCTATAATCAACAAATGATATTATTGAAAGATCATGTCCTTTTTTTCTCTAATATATATTTTGTATCCTCATTTACAAACACCTTTATAAACACGTACCTGTATGAATATATGAAGAGGTGGAGTAACCACAACTGCGCGATTTCTTGACCAAGGACAATTCCAGGACATTGTTATGACGACCACAATGTTAGTTGTATTTTCACGCACTCATTTGTAATATTTCACTGGATGAATTATTTTATATATAAAATATAATAAAAAAATTATCTTGCAAAAGTCATATAAATCCACTAGTGAAACTGCACATCAAATTATTCGTTTAGCTCTTTGACTTATTAAGATAAACGCGGGATTTAAAAAGGAAGTGCGAGCAACAGGATAAGGAAGCGTTGCGTACACATGCGTGCGAACGTACGGCCGTGCACGTCGGGACTAGGCCAAGCTCCCAGTCCCAGCTGGAAAAGCAATCCAACAATTCCCGTTATTTTGGCGCACCACCCCCTCCGTTGTTCATGACAACGCGAGGTAGGACGGGGTAAGTGTCAAATTCAAAAACTGATTAGGTCTCTAGATTCTAGAATCTACCTTCTTACTGTATTCCAGCAACATACACGTATTGTAATGATTTGTATTAATTGTAACAAAATTAAATAATATTTTTGCTATAAATGGCTCAGATATTTTAATTATACACACATAAGCTTTAATCTTTATCTATACTTATAACTAGCTGTTCCCTGCGATTTCACCCGCGTGTAATTTAGGATTTTTGGCACGGAACCCTAATTACTTTTCTAAAATAAAAGTAGCCTCAGTTACTCTATATAACATCAGCTACATGCCAGTACAAGTACCGTTAACTCGGCGCTAATCGCTACGGGTAAATTTTACCCAAGGCCGCATATTTTGTTGCATTTTTTTCCACCAATCACATCCGGCCGCGCTTCCTAGTACCTTCAAGGTTATATGTGACTACGCACCCCCGGCCCCGCAGTCAGCTGGCGCTGCAAACTAGAGAGTACCTAACGGAAGTCTAAATAAAGTACGGGTGATTTTCACCCCTAGCGATCATCAGTGTTACAATTTTTTTTTATTTTGTCCATTTAATTTCTTGTGTTTTAAGTATCAAAATGGCGCGCCAAATTGTAGCTGTTGAAAATGTAGAGGAGTATTTACATATGGAAGATATTTGAATGATGATCAGAATTGGAAGATATTGAAGAATTTAGCGAACAAGACACGGATTGTGAACAAGATGGCGAGGATTTTGAATTAGCATCTGATAACGCAATCATTGATCGAACATCGTCACCTGAAACCATACCTGTATACCTAGAAGACGTCCCGGTGAATAAATTACAACTTGGCTACTATTTGGGAAAGGATGGTGCAACTAAATGGAAGGGTCTCTGCACCATCTCAGAGTGTACGAACTCGGTCTCACAACATTGTTCTGGAAACAGATGGATGCTAGGCCATGCCAAGATATCGCCATAGCATGGAATTTACTATTTCCCAATGATTACTTACAGTTGATTGGTGACTGCACTAACCGCTACATTGATAAACGTAAAGAAAGGTATCAAAGAAACAGAGATTGTAAGTACACTGACGTCACTGAAATTAAAGCATTGTTTGGATTGTTGTACTATACAGGGCGACTGCGAGGCGCACATTTGAACACCGAAGACATTTGGGCTACAGATGGTACTGGGTTTGATGTTTATTTGGCTGCTATGTCTCGATCTTTCTCTGATCTTCTTTCTATGATCTCGGCGTTGATGTTGTTGATGAAATCTGTGGCACCTATTCGGTCTCACGTATAACAAGAAGATGGCCTCTGGTGGTATTTTATGGTCTATTAAATATAAGTGGCATCAATGCCTATGTAATCGTAAAATAAAACGTCCTATTACTAAAGAGAGTCCTAAACCAAGACGACTCTATATAAAAGACTTGGCACTGGCTCTCATCAAGCCACATGTAAGAAGACGGCAAATCATAACCAATCTACCTCTTTACCTGAAAGAGAAGATCAGATTCATACAACACTACACACTACACACTATACACTATACTACACACACACAACTATCGAGAAAAAGGTGCGCCACGTCTCGATGTCAAGTGTGCCCTCCTAAAAAGGATCGCAAGACCAACTCTTGAAATGTTGTGTCGCGATCATGCTTTGTCGGTCTGTTGTGATTGTACAAAAAAAAAGTTCCTCATTATAGAAGGCCGATTAGTGCCATTATTCTTAGATTCTATATTACTGTTATTTGCGTTTATTTATAAAAAAAACTTTGATTATAGTTTGTGTTTTTTTAAGTTTAACTGGTATTGTGATTACTAATAAAAAGGAAAAGAATAATAATAATAAGACAGTTTCAAGAGGCTCTCAACCAGAAGGACAGTTTCAAGCGGCTCTCAACCAGAAGTCGCTTCCGAGCCTCTTCACTACTGGGATCACACATTTGGTTCCTAAAGACCAGGGTACCACAGACCCGAGATACCACCGACCCAAATACCGCCTCATCACGTGTCTACCGACCGTATACAAGACACTAACATCCATTTTGAGCGCGAGAGTCACTCGTCACCTGGACTCAAATCAGGTGATGTCGCGCGCTCAAAATGGATGTCGGGCGGCGGTCGTGGAACCAAGGAACCACTCTTCATTGCCGCGGTCATTGGCAAAGTGGTGAAACGCAATCGTCGGGACTTCTCCGCCGCCTGGATAGACTACAGAAAGGCATTTGACTCGGTGCCCCATGCATGGCCAAAGAAGGTCCTCGAGCTGTACAAGATTGACTGTACAGTTCGAGACTTCCTCGAGCAGTGTATGGGGCAGTGGAGTACGATCCTCTGTTATCTAGGCGAGCGGATGACGGCTACGGAAAGCCGCATAAGGATAAGAAGGGGTATAGTCCAGGGCGACTGTCTGAGTCCAATCTGAGTCCAATCGAGCGGATGACGGCTACGGAAAGCCGCATAAGGATAAGAAGGGGTATGTTCCAGGGCGATTGTCTGAGTCTAATCTGGTTCAGCCTCTGTTTCTTAGTACTTCACTGGAGAGCTCCGGGAGGGGGTTTTAGCTTCAAAAAAATGGGGTACAAAAGTGACCCACCTTTTTTATATGGATGACCTCAAATTATTCGCCTCCAGTAGCTCCCATCTTGTGGAATTGCTAAGAATCACTTGTGAATTTAGTAATTCAAAATTCACAAGTGATGTTTAGCAATTCCTGGCTGGTATGAAACAGTCAGTTTGCGACGTGTTTTATGCACGCTTGACCAAAGTGCTTAACAGCCTTTTGCTCAGTGTGAATAAGACACACGCATATTACGGTTGGGTCATGCCTGTCCTCATGTATACCTTTGGCATACTCAGGTGGACTCATACAGAACTTAACGCCCTGGATAGAAAAGTCCGCACTACCATGACGTCCCATAGGATACATCATCCGAGATCGTCGATAATGAGATTGTACTTGCCGCGAAAGCACGGTGGGCGTGGCTTTCTGAGCGCGCTCACCATGCATAATCGCGAAGTGTGCATGCGCCTCCGTAATTACTTCCTGGCGAGATCGGATGATCCATTCTATAATGACGTCATTTCTAGTGATAAAGGGTTTACCCCTCTATCCTTAGCCAACGAGCAATGGCAGGACCAAGCAGTACAAAGCGTTTCCGACCGGGAGACCGTATGGAAGGAGAAGGAGCTTCACGGGAGGTACTACAGGGCTCTACAAGAGCCCTTCGTAGATTCAGTCGCCTCCCTCCACTGGCTACGTTTCGGTGACCTCTTCGGGGAAACCGAGGGTTTTGTCTGTGCAATACAAGATCAGGTTATTAAGACCAACAACTATCGGAGATACATCCTAAAGGATGGCACCGTCGACATCTGTCGAGCTTGTCGCCATCCCGGTGAGTCACTTAATTCGGCGTTCGGCGTTAGTTCGGCACTTTCTAAGTCGTGAGTACTTGCACAGGCACTACCTAGTAGTCAGGATTTTACACCAGCAGCTCGCATTGAAATACGGTCACGTGGATCGGAAACTGCCTCTCTCCGGGCTCAAATGCAGAAGGCGATGCTCCTCGATACCGCCCGCATCGTCCGCCGGTTTCTTTCCCTTTCCCCCTAACCCTCGGCCGTTTGGTCTCCAGTGCTTCCATCTGGTTGGGCTTTTATTTATTTGTGTATTTTTGTATTTAATTTATTTTATTGATATTTATGAAATTTATCTTTTCATTTTCATTTACAATTATATATTTATAGAACCCAACCAGATGAGAAAACTATATAGATACACCCCCATAATAATAATAATAAATTAAGTTAAAAAAAACAATATTTAGTTACTTACAAACTTAAAAGTTAATCGTATTATTAGGTAAGATTTGAAATTGTGACTCTAGTAAAATAAAACAATTAAAGAAAAACTTTGTATTATTTTAATCATTACTTAGCACTCATTGGGTAAAACCCGCATTATGAAAGAATTAAAGTAAAGTAAAGTTACAGCCTATATGCGTCCCACTGCTGGGCACAGGCCTCCCCTCATTTCTGAGAGGGTTTTAGGGCAAGGAAGTGTCCGCCGCGCTGCCCCAATGCGTGTTGGCGAACTTCACATGTCTTCGAAATATTTTTTTCTCTTATTCCTCAGATATTCAAGTTTCCTCACGATGTTTTCCTTCACCGCCGAGCACGTGGTAAATCAGCACTAAAATTGCAATTAACAATTTCATTGGTGCCGGCGGGGATCGAACCCGGGTTACTCGCGTTCTGTTATATTTACAGCGAGCGTTAACCATTTGAGCTACCACGGCTCAATGAAAGAATTGCCAAATAATATTTAACAGTAGACTAAGATTTATATTTGGGTATTTTTCAACCGTTGCGAACATCTGTATAGCAAAAGGTGGCGCGAGTACCGCCGAGTTAAAATAGATCCATCCATTTCGGAGGTTATTCGGAACAAACAGACACACAGAAAGGCAGACAAACCTTTTAAAAATTGCGTTTTTGTTATAAGTACCGTAGGTATATACTTTTATATGCATCTAGTAAAAAGCTGTTACTTTGACATTACAAACAGATACTACAATTTTATTTATTTGTATAGATCACTGACCTCTATATATACAAGTACGCTGGACTGGCTATATCCATACAAAAAGACTGTGCCAATTTGAAGCGCCGCTAAAGGATGTCTTGAAAAATAAAATTGACATAATATGCCAAAGTCTGTTGTCTTATTCATATTGTCTTATGTCATAAGTATTGTGTATTTTGAAGTAGTGTATTTTGAACTTTTAACTAAAAAACTAAAGTATTTTGTTGTTTGATTGTGTATAATATTAGTTACATAATAAGTATTATTTTATTAATAATGAGAGTGTGCGTAATCTGTAAAACTCGTTACCAAAAGGGAAGTGGTATAACATTTCAGAAGTAAGTGAATTTGCAGCAAATATTAAACAAATTAAAACTATTTGATAATAAAAGTACTTAAAATTTGTTACTAATCTTAATATCACCATATACCAAGATGTTTGGTGTATATTACTGAGTTTTGATAAAGAATAAAATTCAATAGGGTTGTCGAGTTCCTTGTCTATAATACTTATCGATGTTCTTTTCTACCCATATGTGTTAACAAAAAAAGTCGCCAACAACGGATGATTATCAAATGTTTATAAATTAACAGGTTTGCAACCGAACCTAGACTAAAATTATGGATTAAAAGCATAAATATTGTGAATAGGCGTCCGAAACAAAATGATCACATTTGTTCCAAACATTTTACAGACGACTGTTTTATTAGACATGAGAACTGCACCACTTTGAAAAAGTGCAGTATACCGACAATATTTTCTGGTACAAGTAGCCAGTAAGTATAAAAGTATTAGATTATTATTTCGAATGTTTTTTTATTTCTTCTTTCCTCATTTTCCACCAAACTTAAGGGCCATAGCCAAGTGTCGAAAGATCGCCTGATGATGTCGTGCCACGTTGGATGTGTGTTAGTGGGCTGCGGCTAGAGGAGATTCCACTCCCTGGACCGCTGTAATCGAGGTGGAGTCGTAAGGGAAGAGGAGTGTTGATATGGCGATTGGCGATGCGCCACTCGACTATCTTTCGCGACTTTAGTGAGGCTGCACAACTTGATGCTTCCAAGTGCTCGTTGTTCCCTGGCTCCATTCACATATCGGGCTCGGGGAGTCCGTAGTGCAGCTCATATCTCTATAAATGTTTCCTCGGTTTAAGATCTTTATAGAATATTTAGAGACGATACCAGGAGACCCGACGGTATGTGTTTGGTTGCTTGAGAGAGAGAGCGAGATAAAGCTTTAGTATGGGATACTACTTGCGAACACTTTGACAACATCCCATCTTAGGGTACCTCGTCTAAAGCAGGGTTGGCATTAGAGGCAACTGAACCAAGTAAATAGCCCAGAGTATCTGGAAGATAAGTACATATTTGTGCAATTTGC